ATTGGTAACATCCAGAACAAGACAACGACAGACACGAAGGGTGGGTGATCGACAAGCAAGGGATGACAAGGTACACATAGTGGGTAGTATGTCTATTTCGGATGGGTGTATTGAAAATAGAAATAGGGTGATCCAAAGGGAGATGAATTTGTATAAGGTGCGCCGGATGATGAGGGTGGGAAAGAGCTTGGGTATTCAATTTGATGATAATGATGAGGAAATACAATCTAGGTTGCTAGAGGCAGAGGATTGAGAAAGGGCCGGAAGGAGAGACGGGTTGGGGGTATAGGAGTGGGTGTGAGGTGTGGAGTTGTGTGACTAGAATTGATTAAATGAAGATTATATCTTTTAATGTAAGGGGTTTGGGTGGGACGGTGAAGAGGAAGGAAGTGGGAAAGCTGGTTAGAGAGGAAAGGCCGAATTTTTTGTTCCTACAAGAAACAAAGTTAGAAAGGATAAAATGTGGGTATTTGTAACCTTTTATGGTATTCTGATGAGTTTGAATGGGTTGTGAAGGCCTCTTTTGGAGCATCAGGGGGACTACTATGTCTATGGGATAGGTGGCATTTTGTTAAGCGGGAAGAGTTTATTGGTGATGGGTATGTGGGAATATCAGGGGAATGGGGTGTAAATAAGCAACAGTGTTGTCTAATAAATGTGTATGGCCCAAATGATAGACAGAAGAGGGCTAAGTTGTGGGAAGAGTTGAGGAAGATGGTGATTGACAAAGAAGGGCGATGGTTGATCGCAGGGGATTTTAATGCTGTTAGAGGTCTTGAGGAGAGGTGAGGAAAAATAGGGGTGAGTGTAGATATGAGGGACTTTGAGTAGTTCATTGTGACAACAGGCTTGGTGGATGTTAAATTGACGAATAGACGCTATACATGGTATAAGCCAAATGGAACAGCAAGGAGCAGACTGAATAGATTCTTGTTGAGTACTGAGATGAATAATATGGGAGGAGAGTGGATACAATAGGGATTGCCAAGAAACATTTATTATCATTGTGCAATGGTTTTGAAGTCCAAATCAACAGATTGGGGACCAAGGCCTTTTAGAGTTTTAGATGCATGGCAACAACATCCAGAATTCAAGAAGGTTGTAGAAGATAAGTGGAGAGAGATGGCAGTGGAGGGGTTTGCAGGGTATAAATGCCAACAAAAGTTAAAATTGTTAAAAGAGTTTTTAAAAGGATGGAACAAGGAAGTATTTGGGAACATGGAAGCCCAGCATGTGCAGGCTATTAAAAAAATAGAGCAGGTTGATATGCAGAATGAGGTAGTTGACCTGGAAGAATTCGAGATTGTTAAAAGGCAAGAAGGCTTTTTTGAGATGTGGGATTGTTTGAGAAAAAGGGAACTAATCTGGAAGCAGAAGTCAAGGAGCAAGTGGGTGCGAGAGGGTGACGCGAATACCTGTTTTTTCCATAGAGTGGCTAATGGGAGAAGGGCTCAAAATAGTATTGCAGGCTTAATGTGTGATGGGGTGTGGATTGAAGATCCAGATGTAGTTAAAAATGAGACTGTCAAATATTTTAGAAGTTTGTTCCAAGGTGACTCATGGAATAGACCTAAGCCCGATGGTATTAAATTTCAAAAGATTTTTGAGGAGAAAAAAGAATGGCTAGAAAGACCATTTTCGGTTGAAGAAATTGAGGAAGGTTTAAGGAGCTGTGATGGTTCAAAGGCACCGGGACCGGATGGGTACAACTTCAATTTTCTTAAATTTGCGTGGCATTGCATAAAGGAGGATTTCATTAGTTTTTTCTCTGAGTTTCATTGGAATGGTAAACTGGTGAGGGGTCTAAACTCTTCTTTTTTAGCTTTGGTTCCTAAGAAATTGAATGTTGTGAATTTAAAGGATTATAGACCCATTAGCTTGATTGGATGTGTCTACAAATTATTAGCGAAGGTATTGGCTAATAGATTGAAATCAGTGATGTCAGAAATAGTGAGTGAAACTCAATCTGCTTTTGTGGGGGGCCGTCAATTGGTTGATAGTGTATTGGTGCTGAATGAAGTAGTAGATGAGATAAAGAACAGGAAACAGCCAGCTTTTGTCTTTAAGGCAGACTTTGAAAAGGCATATGACTGCATAAATTGGTCCTTCTTAGACTAGATGATGGATAGTTTTGGTTTTGGAACAAAGTGGAGAAGATGGATTATGGAGTGTCTTTCAACTGCAAGAATTTCGATTTTGGTAAATGGAAGCCCGACAAAGGAATTTGAGGTAGGTAAAGGATTGGGTCAAGGGGATCCTTTATCTCCTTTTCTTTTTTTGATGATTGGTGAGGGGTTACAAGGCTTGGTACAGAAAGCAGTGGCAGAGGGAATGGTACATGGGATTGAGATTGGAAAGAAAGGGATGACTGTGTCTTTACTTTAGTTTGCCGATGATACAATAATTATGGGTAGAGCGGATGCTGAGAATATACGAATGGTGAAGGATGTTTTAAGATGGTTTGAACTTATGTCTGGTTTGCGGATAAATTTTAACAAGAGTAGTATCTATGGCTATAATGTGTCGGAGAGATGGCTAAAGGGATCAGCGGGTATGTTATGCTGTGGAGTTGGTCGAGCACCCTTTCTTTATTTGGGATTGCCTATTGATAGTAAATCTAGAAGTAAGAAGGTGTGGGAGCCGATGGTGAATAAATTTCATGCCAAGCTTGCTATCTGGAAGGCTACTACTCTTTCCTTT